AAAACTATCTATACAGAGTGTTTCCATGGAGCTTTGTACAATAAAGTGACATTTGCATAGAGTCCAGGACATTGTACACATCTTGTTTGTGTGATCTCCTCTCAACAGAATATTATAAAATGTATTTAGCTCTGAAAAAAACAATTGTTGCTTTATCAATAATTGAAAAGGTTGCACCATGTAGTTTAAAATGGAAGGGTGTAAAACATTCTCTTCTGATGTATTTATTGATTTTATGTAAATGAATAAACATGGTAATAAGATTAAGAGATTAAGAGATCCTTTATTTATCTCACAATTGGGAAAATGTAGTGACTTTTGTTTTCATCACAACAATTATATGAAAAATCATACATACAGTGTTGGACAGAAAGGAAATACGCTTAGTCTAAATGTAACAGAAATGCAGTTACTCAAAAATACTTTTTATGAAGTATAATTTATTTATTTTTGTAAAATTCAGTAAATCGGAGTTATCACACAAAACATGAGATAATTCTAGCCTTTATCATGTCGATAATTGGTTCACAGCTTGAAAAAAAACCCCAAAAAACATCCCAGAAATATAGACTTTTTAAAATGGACAATAGGCCTTCTTCTTCAAAACGATAACAAACAAAGGCTTGGCATATGTCACTTTGTGTGTAATTACAGATATAAAAGATCTAGTTTCAACTATCAATCAATCAATCAATCTTTATTTATAGGGCGCTTTTCCTGCACAGGGCAACTATATACGTTAATTGTTTTAATCCATCTTTAACACTTTAATATTATACAAGTATACGGAATACAGTACTCTGTTTCAAAATACATGTTGAAGCAGGTATTGAGTCTTGTGTGACATACATGCATACATACACGTTAAAGTAGTCCCTCACACACTAATTGAAACACTAAAAGGACTCCATCACCATTAGAGAGAACACATCCAATACCAGGGGAAGACTCCACTGAACTAAACACTGAAAACCCCGACACCAGCTTCATCACAAACAGCCACAGTCAAAATCTTAATTTAAAAATACAAAAACTGCAGTAAGCGCATTTCTACCTTTTCCAAGTGTTGGAGTGCGTCTCTCTGATCCTATTTCTGCTAAATGATGGCATGGGGCGACTATATTAGATTTCATCAGCAGCCATCAATCACTGCTGCACTTAACACGATCAGCTCCCCAGTTTATTCAGAGCGAACAATGGGGGACAGCCACATCCCGCCTGCAACTGAGTAAATGAGGAATTTAAATACTGCACAAGAGACTACGGCAGCTCAGAGGGGGCGCACTGATTAAAGGCCACAATATCTAGTTTTGGAACGAGATGATCTGTCAACTGCAAGCATGAAGAGGTGTACGGAAATAATGGGCTACTAATGTGGAGATAGTTATTGTTCAAACATGTCTGAGCACACGCACACGACCACTCGCACACACACACACACATGCACAGGACGCTCCCCTACTGTCTGTATTGATGGGTAATTTATCAAACGACACCTCGTTCAGAGTGGAGAGAAAATTTAATCATGTACTCTCCACATCCTGACGATAATCATGAGAAGTCCCTCTTGTAAAGGCTCTCAGTGAGTCCAGGTTGTTCATTTTAGAAAACGTTTCATTTGCCAGATACTCTATATCTACTCCAGGATCTCCAGGATCAGGATTCATCTAATGTTGTTATTTAATGCATAAAAGAAATGCAGCTTTTAAATATTAGATCTCCCTATATCATTCTGCTTTGAGCATTGGGTGGCAGCTCTGATTGCCACCCCCAGACCCAGAAATGGATTAATAAAGTGGAATAAAATGATATGACACAATACCCCAATAACTGAATATTCATTAATACCCCATGGTAGGGTATTGTATATTACTGTATGTACTGCACAGTATCAAATTTGTATTCTGTATGTTAATTATTGCATATTATATTTTGCGTATTCTTGTGTTGAATGTGAGAGGGGTCGGGAACAAATACGCACCCCTTTTCAAACCTGTATTAGTGTAAAGATATGTGAAATTGTGTTCTGCAGGTTTTAATTAATCCAACTAACTCACTAAATCATTAATGCTCAGGACAGAAACACAACGAAACCATAACCTTAACCCTAACCTTTCCATCAACTATATAATGTTAAAAAAAACACATTCATTAGCTATCTACAATACATTTCTCTGGGAAATATGGGTTGTGCCCTTCTACGCATTCCTTCACCCTTGGGAGTTTCTCATAATTGATTTATTACAAACAAGTGCCATGAACTCACGGATATGTCGCAATGTGATACAAGTCATATGACACAAACCATTTGACAAGTCTAGAGTGGTTAAAGTCAGAACCACTAGCTCTCGTAATTGTATCTATAAATTAGTATGAAGTGCATTTGCATTCCTTCAACTCCTCCCACAGTACAGTGAATGAATATGCCGGGGATTCAGTACAGTTACAGTAATAGAAATGTAAAATAATAATGTATAACAAATATTTAAATGTTGGTTGTCAAACTAGTACCGACACCTTCTCATTTAAACAAACACTATCATTTAGCCCATTTTCTCCACCCGCCATTTTCAGACAATGTAGGGTTGTCCTGGACAGACTCGTTTGCACATATTATATTCACTCGCCCCAATGAACCCAGAGAAACTTGAGGTTAATCTTGAGAAACTTTTTTTTTTCTACCAATACAATTTGGATTAAACCAAAACTGGACCAAAGGTAAAGAAGGACTGTTATTTTAGACTGATCAGGCAATTATTATTATTATCATAACTATTACAGATTGCACTTGTTTCCATACACCGCAATGTTAAGATGTTTGAATTCTCAGATATTATAGGCACCTATAGTTTTCACAATAGTTTCACGTAGTTATTAATTACAAAAGTAAATGGAATTTTGTAGAATAAAATAATCTTAATTCACAGTAAGTGTGCGTGAGTATTAGATGGGGCTGTTTCATACCTGCTCGTTGTCTTTGGATAGGGAAGACAGCCTTCATTGTGACATTGTGGATCCACTTCTAGTAGCCTAGAATTAAAAAGAAAAGTAGGAAATAAATATAGGCTGATTAAAGTGTTTTTAACATGAGAACGTGAAGCTTAGCGTACATCGGACTGGCAACTGATTATATCCGTCGCATATGAGTTGCTGCCCCGCACACATCGACAATCTGACGAAAACGGGCAACTCCCAGTAGCAGACCAGTCTCGGGAATAACAGCGCGTACATCGACAGCAACTGTCCGTCACCTACAGTGTGTTTTCTGACATAAACTGTTGCGGGCTCACAATACACGCAATACACACACGTTGTCGGAGCGGCGCATGGAGTGCGCACATCGGGTCATATCTCCGAAACTGAGGACAACTAGTTGCCGAAAAGTAGAACACGGACAACTGACTGAAACTGGAGACCGACTGTTCGTCTCCAGTTGTAAGAGCGCTCACATCGACCGATTTCGGCAACTGATCATCTCCATCATCTCCTCTCAGTTGCCAAAAGCCACCTTGCAACTAGTTCTCCCCAGTTTCTCTGTCGATGTACGCTAGGCTTGAGAAAAATACCGTTTTTAATTTCTATTCTGAAATAAACAGTGTCAGTATCTAACTTTCAGACCAAAGAAAATGGAACGACGTCATAAAGTGGTGCCCTGAGGTGGTGTAGTTCAGCTGATAGGAAATCTCTGTCCCCACAGGGAGCATAGACCTGGTGTGGTGGGTGTGATCAGGTCTTTCAGGTACACAGGTGCCGTAGACGCACTGATGTCAGGATTTATTTCAGAATCCACCCTGAATGTAACAGGGAGCCAGTGCCTCGTAGTGATATTAAGATTAAGAGATCCTTTATTCCATATGTTCTGTTTTCCACACCCTCATCAGGATCGTGGCAGCACAGGTCTGACGAGACTAGGCACGAACCACCTTCTCCTCCTGAAGGCCACATTGGACGTCTGCTGTCAGAGGCTGGACCTAATTTTTTTCTCAGGCTTAATTTTTAACTCAAAAATATATATTGCAGCAGAACAAGGAGCAGGACTGCGGCTCCAGAGCTCTGCACACAGTATAGAGGGATTTCAGAGTCTTTCTACAAATATATAAATTGAGGAGGGATCAGGGGCCCGATAGAAATGGCCAAAGGGCCGCATCGGGCCCACAGGCCAGGGTTTGCCGGCAATTGAATTAGTAGGCAGTAGTTTTGGTAGTGCATTACACTAGTCCAGCCTGGAGGAGACAAAGGAGCCTGCCACTAGCTTACTTTTCACATGCATCTATTCTTTAACATTCGTAAAAAAAATTAGGCAGGAAAATGAACAAGAGAGGACCACCCAAAACGTCAAACAGTGACTCACAGGGATTCCCAAAGAAATATGCGTTTTGCTTTCTAATAAAGATAAAGACAGCATGTTACTTTTACAACTCTTTCTCTTGGGTCAACATTAATGTATAATTTAATGTCTGAACTCTGAAAATTGTAAAGCGCTTTTGGTGACCTGTCTGTAGAAGTGCCCTACATAAATAAAGATGACTTACTATAATTTATGAAAAAAAAGACGCAGATCAGATGAGAATTATACAACACGCACACATTTAACACATATGAAATCAGACATTACACTATTACACTAATATTTTCCTCCCATGCTAAGGCTAGCCCGCCAAACTAGCCTCAATAACACCCGATATTTCGAGCCCATCCAAATAACTTCGGTCTTTATGCTGGAGTCTAATGGCATGAAATTACCCTTATACTCCTGATGGAATTCTCTTGGTATTAAAAAGTTTAAAAAGTTGTTCTTTTAGCGTTTACCTTTACCACCACGTGCTGTTGTACAACGCGGGCCTGAGACTCGCGTGCCTGCATGAGCGCTGATTGGACAAGAGCAAGGACCCGCCCCCTGTGACCGTCACTGTCGAGAGTACACATGGAGATGTTTAGAAAAGTTTTTCTCATGAACACACAACACGCAGGATCCATCAGAGAGACGAGTTTAAAGCAGGATGGCAGAGGAACTACTGGAGGAAAAATATGGAAAAGTTACAGGGGTAAGGCACAACTTTTCAGCTTTTTCAAGTATGTACTTCATTTCTTGTTTTTCCTTTTGATTATAATCCTTTGAACATGGTTGAAGTCTTTGTTCTTCTTTTGTGAAACCATGTGGTTGCATGATGATTAGGTCACTTTCTGACAGATAGTTAACAAGCCTTAATAGAGTACTGACTGTGCAGCATTGTCTGTTATTATCTATTCCCACGTGTGGCCTGCTAACTCTCTCCATCCGCCAATAAAACACTATTAGATCTCCAAAGCGCCAGAACTCTGATTTCTTTCATTCTTTTCTGTAGTTTAGAAATGTTATAAGAGCTTAAGATTTCACTGCTCAAATTGTGTGGTATGTAACTATATTTATAGGCATTTTATCTAGGATAAAATTAAAGCTATTTGATCAGTTTATGATCAAATGTTTAATGTGTAAAAAAAAATTCTCCAGTTTGGACTTTGTGGAAGTTAGATGTTTTGGGCATCTAGAAGGAACATCTATGATCCTTCTAGATGCCCAAATAAATCCAACTTCTTCATTAACCATGTAATGATAAACTCAAAAATCCTTAAAGTTAGGTACAGGTAAAACATTTCTTGATGCTGCTTTGAAGCCTTTCTTCAGATTTAAATGCAACTAATATTGTTGTTCACGTAATAATACAGTTTGAAACGTAGTAATAATAATAAAATATAATATATGTCAAACATAAATAATATATAGAATATAATATAATAATAATATATACCTGTTGATAGTTGTGTTGTAAGTAGGTGTAGTAGAGGTGTGGCTGATATATATGTACGTATGTCAAATGTTTATTGCATAAATGTGTGTATGTGTATATTTATGTGTGTATATAGGTTAAATGTGTATTGCATAAATGTGTGTGTATGTATATGTTAAATGTGTTTGTGTCTATATATGTATATGTCTGTGTGTTTATGTAATGCATTTGTGCGTGTTTATATATATAGTAATGTAAGTATCATTACAATATATCGGTGATGGGTATTTGTTAACAGGGGGTAGGCCCAAATAAGCTGTTCCAGCTTCTGCCAACTCCCTTTTGGGCAATTGTTTTTTTTTTTTTCAATGCTTCTCTTTTGTATAATTGATTATGTTCCTTCTAGATGCCCAAATAAACACACTTATTATTATTATTATTATATATGTTGACACACAAAGGTATACTATTTAGATTAGATTAGATATTTTGTGTGCAAGTAAAACAAACTCCACCATGTAAGGCATTTCCATATTACTTTGTGCCTGTCCAAAGCCCTGGTAAAAGGAAGTGGGTGGTCACAACCTAAATGGGAAAAAACAAAAAGATGTGGAATGATTTATGTTTGTCTGTTTCAGCATGTCACACCTTCGCTGCTCTTAGTGGCCTTTTTGTCCTCGTTTGGGAGCTCCATGTTGTATGGCTTCAATTTGGCTGTGGTCAACTCTCCAGCACAGGTTTGCCATCCACATTGTACCAACTGTCTCAAAATCACTCGTTATAAATGATAATAATAATATTGTCTTGCACTCGTACAGAGCCTTCCAGACTTGTCAATAGATAGATTAGGGATGTAAATCGGCGACCGGTTAACCGGTGGTTGACCGTCACAGCGTTAACCGGTCAAAGCTGTCGGTTAAAAAAGAGAAAAAGGGGAGAGGGGAGGTCTCTTAATAACGCTATTTTAAGCCCTATTTGCACGGTGTGACGAGCGGGTCTGTATCTAGCTGTATGCGCCCATGTATTATAAACTCCGGGACGACTCTCACGCCGCACGAGCCACATATGCACACACGCACGCGCGCGCACACACACACACACACTTTCCCCCTCTCCATGCGTAACATCCACACGCATCATCTCTCCCCTCTTTTACCGTCAAAGTTGCACACTGGCGCGGGTCAGAACTACATTGGAGCTTACATTTACACACATACACACACACATACATACATACACACACACATACATACATACACACATACCGGTCTGTCGCGCTCCTCTGTGTCACGGAGCCCAAAGGATTCGCGCAAATACGCGGCTCCTTTTGGGAGTCGCGTATTTCCCCTACATGTTTTGCTGTAGGGGAAACATGTTTGTGTTTATGGTCCTCGGGATCAGCCCCACACACATCACTTGTATTTAAACTTTTGTGAAGACCTGTGAGACGCGGCTCGTCACTCGCTGCTCTGACCATGTGAACGAGCCGTGTTTGCTGCTAGAAAGTTTTGGTATTAACCCGCAGCTCAGCAGAATGGGAAGATTAAAAAAGCAGTTCTCTGTGCGCAAAGGTGCCGGAGCTGTTGCGGGTTTGGGCGCCGCTGTCTTGGCTCTGATCCAGTAGAACGCAGAGCTGCACTTATGAAAAGTACGCGGCTCGAAATGGCTGTTATTTCAAAGAACGTGGACTATTTTAAACTACGCGGTTAACCGGTTTCAACCGGTTAATGAGGCTCGGTGGTCGGTCATGAAAATTCATAGTTTTTTACATCCCTAAGATAGATCCATCCTCAGTAGTCCGGACATTTGTCGTGGTGAGATGGACCTAAGATTTCATGCGGTGTCATGTGGTTAAAGTGTGTGAAATCCTGAGCAGTTTTACCATGTCACTGATGTTCCGACCTCTTTTATATACATCACATGATCGTACTGTCTGTTCTGTGTCTGATTTGCAATGGGACTGTGACGAAAGGCACTTTGTCCATGCAGGGGCTGGAAGAGGGATCTAGAGTCACACTTTGTAGTTAATTTTATATTATTGTCCCTTTTATTGAATACTATCATTTTGTAAGCTTGTTTGTTGAACTACTGAGTCGCTGACTCAAGACTTATAACAATCATTTAATTCAAAATTTGCTTTTGAAACTATATAATCCACTAAGACATCTTGCCATTGAGTTTAGATTAAATGATCACATTGTGGACTTTACTCCGTGGTTCTTTTCTGCTGTGTCTTCAAACTAAAGAGGATAACAACTTTAGTATTTGGGTATTGCGATAAAAAGGCATCATGCTGGAACAGTGTATTATTTCAAGATGGCGCATTATAGTCCCTTCACATTGGTGATTGTTGATGTTAGGGTTAGGTATAGGTATTTTTTCTTTTATGATTGCAAAAATGTGTGGTTCTGGCTGGTTATAGAAATGAAAGTTTTATATTTTCCTAAAGAATCTATTTCATCCCAAGTAAAAAGAGTCTTGTAAAAGTCAATTTTGTGAACAAATCAGACCACAACATGCTGCCTCCATCATTTGCATACTGAGTCACACTTGATGCTTAGGGTTATTTTTTTGTGTCTGTAAAATCTGAGTTGACAGAGACCATAAATGCATGAATGTGCATGAACCAAACTGTGACAGCAAGGAACCATGGTTCAAGTGATCTCCTCACATAGTTACATTATATGTGGTCTGAAAGTCAGGTACCCCAACTGTACTTTGTGGTTCTGTGTGGAATATTATTAATGAGTTGAGGATGTTATAGAACATTAAAAGCCGTTTTAAATGTTCTTTTCAATGTGTTTTTTTTCACACAGCATATCAAAGAGTTCTACAATGAAACTCTGACTGAGGAATATGGTTGGGAGACAGACGAGGAGTTTCTCACCGTCCTCTACTCACTCACGGTGTCCATCTTTGCTATCGGAGGAATGACCGGTGCCCTGCTGGTGGGCCGACTGGTGACCACCTATGGCAGGTTGGTCGATCCTTTCACTTTAAATGTGTGAATGTGTGATGTTCCTGATTTGAGAGGGTTTCGCTGTGTGTCCAAATAGGAAAGGGACTCTGGTCAGGATCACTGTGCTGGTGTTTCTGGGTGGAGCTCTCATGGGCTTCAGCAGGTCCTGTAGGATGCCTGCCATGGTCATCATCGGACGGTTTATCACAGGGGTTCACTCAGGTGGGTTTGAAATGATGAACCTGTTAAAGTTTGTGTTAAAGTTCCTTTTTTGATCATATTTGAGCCATTTTGAATGATTACGCATTCACTCAGTAGTGGTTGTGACGCAATAAACGCAATTTCTATTTTAGGATTTCAGTATTGCACATTGCACATGATTACAGTATTTACTATTTACAGGTGAATGAAATGTTGAGGCTCAACAGTTTTCATTGTACAATCATGACACTCAAATGACTCAGATCATCAAATTTAAAGAATAATTATTATGCATTTTTAGCCATTCAAAAATATGATGAGACTAATTATTTGTCATCTCATGTTTTAGAATTTGAAATGGTGTCTGCATATATATATGTAAGTAGAAAGTATATGGTGAAACAAGAATGAAGGGTGAAAACTGCTACCCGCCTGTACCTCCCTAAGCTACCACCAGAGGGAGGATTTTATTTATTTTTTCTAGCAAACACAGCCATGCAAATGTACAGAATGTAAATTAATCTGAGTAAAAACAAATTCATGAGCAATACTTTTGTTTTAAAAGTCTTCTCTGAGCGTGAGGTCACAGTGGTACAATGACTTCATACTATTACAGGACTGAGACACAAGCTTTGACATAGAAGGGGTGGAGTTTGTGCCAGAAGTTCCGATAACAGCATGGATGATCTAAAAACAACTCCAGGTGTTTGATGAAGGAACAATGTTGCAACACTGTTTTGCATGATATGTTTCCTTTAACATAAATGACATCTTTTGTGCATCTATTCTGTACATTCTAGAGCTCCCCAGAGCGGCTCAATGATTTTATAATTTGAAAATAAAACACAACAAACAATAAATGACTTCACACAACCACTTACAAAAACGTGTTTGTGTTATCATGCTTAATATTGGAAATATGACCAGCACAACTGTATATATTGAGTAAACTTTCTCCATTCTCCAAACCTTTTTATCTTGTCGACAGGGATTTCTCTCAGTGTTGTGCCGATGTATCTTGGGGAGATTGCGCCAAAAAACTTGAGAGGTTTCTTGGGCCTTGTTCCCAGTATTCACATTTGTCTGGGAGTCTTTATCGCTCAGGTTTTGGGACTTGGGGAATTACTGGGAAAGGTTTGTAAAGCGTGTCCTAATAATACAAGTTTGTTGACAGGGCAGTTTTCACCTCCACATAAATATATTTTTCTCACAGAAGGAGCATTGGCCTCTGCTCTTGTCTCTGGTTGTTTTCCCGACAATGGTCCAGCTTGTGTTTTTGCCATGGTTCCCAGAGAGTCCTCGCTACCTGCTGATTGAGAAAGGAAACGTCCACGCCACTATCACAGGTTGGACCTAAATAACTTTTTGATGCATGTTTGATGATGCATGTTTTTTAATAGTTAATTGAGCAAGAAGGAAATAGGAACAAAATAACACTAAGGAAATCCACCATGTTTGCAGGAAAAGTTCGGGAAAGCGTGGTGGAATAACTTAAAGCTGGACTACCTTATTTTCAAACTTTCAAACATTTACCATGTCATGAAATACATTTAACTGCTTACACCTCTGTCAGAACTTCATAACAACTTCGTAACGACTCAGACAGAAAAGCGACAAAAAGAGGACCACCTTGCTTCAACCAGCTCTCTGACCTAAGTCTGATCTAGTGACTCATAGGGCTCTTTCTTACAAATATGCAAAAGATAACATGTTTTTAATTAGCAGAACACAACATTTTATGGCCTGATTCATTCACAAAAGTATATTGTTTGTGTACAAGACTCTTTCTGTTTAGAGATAATATAATAAAGAAAGAAACCAAAGTTTACGTAACCCAGTTTTAACTAACTAACCAGTTTAATCATCATGTTGTAGTTGGAATAATTTTAAATAAGCTCTAAATGTATTTAGAATCTTGAAATCTCCAGTAGGCCTGTCATAACCCCAAAGCTTTTCCAGAAATGTGGCTTTTTCAAAAGGGGAGTCTTGAAAATGTATAAGAGATGGATGATCGAAAGTTTCCTGCATATATAGAGGTTCATGTGGCAATTCTACTACTTTGGCACCTAAAGAACTATTATTTTAATCTATGGAGTCTGGAGAGTAATTTTATTCGGAAGAGTAGAAGACAAAATAATGCTTTATTGAAACTAGAATACTATCTGGGATCTGAATTATTACTATTACATGATATTATTAGTGAAAGATCAGGTGGACATTGCTCTGAATGCAAACTTGTCTTCTCAGTCTGGTAATCATATGTGTGTTCTCCTGAAGCCCTGAAGTGGTACCGACCCAGAGGGAACATCCAGGCAGAGGTGGAGGAGATGCAGGAGGAGCAGCGCTCTCTCACCTCCTCTGAGACCGTCACAGTGTGGGGTCTGCTCAAAGACCGCTGCGTACGCTGGCAAGTCATCACCATCATAGTGGTCAACATCGGTATGCAGCTGTCCGGCATCGATGCAGTGAGTGGCTCCAATTATCAGTGCGATCAATGCTATTCAGCCAATACTTTCTACCCTGAATCAATAATTAATCAAAGTACTCAAATTCGGTTAGAAGACGTCTTGGGGGAAGGCAGCATGGACTGTATAAAGATGGACAATGCTAACAAACTAGCTCAACTTTGTCTATGAGCTCTTTGCAATGGGGAAGTTTTGCTCCATCTCACTCTGGCTCCTATTGGCTTACATTGTAAAGTAAACTCCTCCAGCTCAGGAGACATTTGTGTTAAAATCACTATTGTGGAATTAAAAAAACAGTAGTTTAGCGCTCTCTTTGATCCTGGGTTTTTGTATCGTTTTCATATTGTCTTTGTAAATCCATATAATAAGGGTTGGCCAATCAGATGCCTTGATTTTGCCGAGGAAACTCCAGCTTGCCTTAGCAACCATGTTAGCAACATGTGAGTGAAATGCCCATACATGGAAAGTGGGTCCAGGTAACTTTAGCTTATGTTCAAAGCGGTTTCTTCCACATTTTACTGTAAACACTATGAGTGGTGTCAGCACTCAGTCAATTCACTCTTACTGTATGGACAGCAGTAATAGGAAATAATAATTACAAAAGTTGAACATGCTATAGAAGAGTTATCACACATCCGTATTATTCTTACCCTAAAAGATATGTATTTTACTATTTATTGTGCATGAAAAAGATCAGAACATAGACAATGCATTGAAAGAAGCTGTCACAAAAGTCTGATGAAGTGTGAATGAACAGGGATGTACTTAATAATAGTAATAATAATAATGCATCGGTTTTATGTAGCGCTTTTTTTGGACTCTCAAAGACGCTTAACATGTGACCCTTGATAGCATGATAGCATGATCTGCTATCTTTAAAATCTTAGTGTTAATTCCCAAGCCAGATGTCACCTTTACATATGGTATGCAATACTGACCACCAGGTCAACCTTTACTAAAACATTCACACGATTGTTTTATTAATGGCTTGACTGGAGGTACGAATGGAGAAATAATAATATCAATTCACTATTTATCAAGGTTTATATAACTAAGATTTGTTTTGTCCCGTGATGAAGGTCAGTTGATAAATACCATGAAAATAAAAGGCGTTTTAACTGAGAGAGTGCCTTGGTTTTTGTATTTTAATACATAGATCAACATGTTTTGCCCAATGCTCAGAGGAATTCTTAAGATTGCAACAATCTTAGTCCTCAAATGTTATGTGGCACCCCGCTTTTTACTTGGGTTCATATAAATGTTGTTTTGCCTGGATAGTTATAGAGTTTCTAATTAAATCTACCTTTTGCATTGGACCCAAACGTGACTTCACTCAAGTTACAAGTTATACCCGAGCATAGGCCAGTCCTCTCACTGAAAAATGTCCACATCCATCCATCCATTTTCTACCCTTTAATCCATTTCTGGGTCAGGGGGGTGGCAATCAGAGATGCCACCCAAGTCTCATAGCACCAGCCCCTCACTGACCCTCTGCAGGTGGTGAGTCCACAGGAGGACGGCTGCTCTCTGAGTGTGAGCATAGCCTTGATCTTTCAGTGGGGGCTTTGGGCAAAGTGGGGTTAAGTGTCTTGCCCAAGGACACAACGACAGCATTCATCAGTGGAAGTCGATGGAGAAGGTGCAGAGGTGGGAATTGAACCCACGACCTTCTGGCCTTAAGGCCAATGCTCTACCAACTGAGCTACTGTCGCCCATCCATAATTGAGAAATGTAAATGTTTTAAACCAAACTTAACAATAGTCAAAAACAATAACTTATCTAGCACAGGACCTCTTGGATCTCTTCACCAAAAGCAGTCACTACTCGTACGTTTGAGAAATGCACCTTTAAGTCTGTGCTGAATAAACTGTACAGACATTCTCCAACTCTTTGTGATGCTTTATGCAGCGTGCGTTTGGGCATGTTGCTGAATAGTGATGAAATGCTATACATGTGGTTACTAAATCAACAAGACAGCGTTTAACTGCGCCCGTCACAAGCTCGTCTACATCTCATCAATGATGGATGTTGCATCAGCAAAGTGTGATTAATGAGGATACACAAATTAATTTCTAGGGGAGCACTTGTCAGAAGTCCATACTGATAAAACGCCATATCTCAAATGCATGAGTGATGGTTGTTCTGATAATAACGATCACGATGATGGATCATGTGTAAACACTAAATGAGCACAGCCAATTTCTGCATACTTGTGAAAGCGCTATACGTTTCAAAGTGCATGTTAGTGTGTCTTTGTGATGCATTTGCCTGTTTGTTTCAGATTTGGTTCTACACAAATGATATATTCAAGGACGCCGGGATTCCTGAGCCTCACATCCAGTACACAACAGTGGGGACAGGAGCCATTGAAGTCATCTCCGGAATGTTGGGGGTGAGTTCACCTCAAGGTTAAACGGAAATGACCAAATGTTGATGGATATTTCAAGCCTTTTTGCTCAAATCCACTTTGAAATCAAGTCTTTTATGAGTTGACATGCTTGTTAGATGGATTAGATACTGTATTATTGTCTGCGTTTATTTGCTTCTAATTGATAGTGATCTTGTTTGCTTTTTGTTTTACCTTGGGTAGTAGTAGTTGTAATATAGTTTATTTGAGCAGTTTTACAGTGTCTTTTTACAGGTAAATATAATTTCAAGAAACAAAGCTCAAAGGGAGAAGGCAGAAGCAAAAAGCTTATATGTGCCTTCTCCATTATCAATACTACACTTAAGCGACTGCAAACATTCTGGTGGAGGGCATCTGAAATTTTTTGTTTAGTCTTTAGCCTTAGTGTTTAATAATACCAGGGTCAAGCCACATGAAAGAAAAACTGTCACAAAGTTCCACATATTTTTTGTCAATACACATCAACTTGAAGTATTTTCTCATGGCGGTGTGTAGAAAGGACTTTCAGATATAAGAATAATGTGGTGGGTTTGTGAATCGAATCCCTATCAATTACTAATGATAGAAATGGAAAAGCTTTTGGATACTTTATTCTTCAGCATTTCTTTCAAAAAATGGCTTCTTTCCCAAACAGGTGTAATAAGATCAGATAAGAGAACCTTTATTCGTCCCACAGTGGGGAAATATCAATGTCGCAGCGCACATACAAGAGAGTAGTAAGAGCACACAAAGTATACAATATAAATAGCGGCTGTGTTTCTTTAGCTAGCTGTAAATGCCTCAATATCAATATATCGTGTGTGAAGTTATATACATATAGAGCAGGATGAATAGCAGATAAAGTGACATTCATGACACCTGACCTCCAACTTAAATACAATTCTATTAAGTTAACCTTAAGAGACGTGACCTGCTTTCCCTGCTGAATCATTGCATTTCCCCCGTCAAATAAAACAAATACATTACGTTTATGAATTAACCATGTTCTGTAAATATTAAAACCTTTTTTCAAACCCTAACCCTATATCTTGTTTTGTTCATCACTTTGAGTTGCCTTGTGTATGAACTGGGCTATACAAATAAACTTGCCTTGGCTTCTGTGTCGTAGTGTTTCACCATTGAGCGTGTGGGCAGAAGACCTCTGATGATCGGTGGATTCCTGTTCATGGGAGTGTGCTGTGCTGGGATCACTGTGTCTGTCATGTTGCAGGTGAATAAGATAGACTTGATTGATCTCACACCGGAGAAATGTACACGTCACATTTGGCATGGATAGAATCACTCGGATTGTGCAAAAGACAGAAGTGCGCAAACAGATTAAAGGTTAAGAAATAGTAGTGTAATAGAGTAATCTCCTCTTTGGCGGGCTAAACGGTAATGTTTACGGTATATGAAGATAAGATAGGAGACCCTTTATTCGTTCTACAGACGGGACATTACAGTGTTAATGTAAAGAACGGAAGGAATAAAGGCATTCTGAATGTGGTGCTTTTAGATCTGTGATGGACCCCTGGAAGAGTAGTGTACTGATTTCATAACACTTTGAAACAACTGTGGTTAAAGTTCTAACTCATCATTCTAACATATGCAGAAGCCAGAACTGTTCCATTGTTTTGGTTAACTCAAGGTTGAAGCTGCTGGCACCGTGGCAGCTGCTGATTGGAGGTCTCCGTTTCTCCTGCTGTATATTACCACTTGCATTCTGTAACGTTCGTGTTCGTGCTGTTTCTACCATCGACAATAAAAAATGTCTTCTGTCTGAATTAAAGACGCGATCCCAGACTTTGTCATCTTCTTCAGTAGTCTCTGCTCTGCTGGAGACTAATGGGAGATCCTAATTAAAATAACATAGACAGCACTTAAAAAAAAAAAGCTGTGGTTGAAATGAGATGCCAGCAGACAAATTTGATTTTAGTTGGAGACTTTTCTTTAAAGCAGGGGTACCTTACATTTTTTTTTCACAACATAAACAGTCTCGTAAAAGTAAAATGTTGTGAACAAATCAGACCCCAACAATTTCGTGGAAAAAAGATTGCTTTTTGTATACTTCCAAGAGAGAGCCCTGTGAGTCACTATTTGAACCTTTGGGCTGAGAGCTGATTGGCTGAATGAGATCTGCAATAAATATATGTTGAAAAGTTAGGTACCCCAGCTTTAAAACTCATGAATAAATACACCTCTACCATTAATTTATCTTCAAATGTGTCATAGTTGACAGAAAAATCTTGTATTTATTTTGTATTGATTCATGTTTTTCATCAAATACATTTCAAGTATATACAGAATATAACTGGATATTCTTTTGTCCTGTTTCAGCCTCATCTGATGTTCATGCGGTACATAAGTGTGGGATGTGTGGTGGGCATCATCGCTGGCTTCTGCATTGGTCCAGGTGAGACTATCCACCTGCTAATTAATATGAAGTGTAACTACCACCATATGTGCTGTTTCCATATGCCTCAGTGACGTCTATGTGCGTCTGTGTGTAAGCTAACCCTGACCCCTGCTGGACACTCCTATCACAGCAGGCAGCAGATAACTTCATTGCCTTTATAAATTAGGAAACCATAACTGCCCCGCTCCCTCGGATTCCCCCGACCGTTTCTACACAGGAAGCGTTGAGCGAATTTAGAGGCAATAGTTTAAATGCTCTAGACCCGATGAGGATGATGAATTTGAACCCAGCTGGTTTACATAATGCAATTCATCAAAAGCCGAAAAAATCGATATCTCGCATACGGTCGTGATTTCTGCGGCCGCAATTACATCTTTAGTGGCTCATTGTTCATCAGCGATCTGTAATGTATACGGTTTGCTTCACGTGGCTCACTGACGCTCTGCATACGCACCACAGATGTTGACAAATTATGGTCTAGTTATTGGTTTGACAATATGAAAGCTCTCCTCTCTACAATTATCATGCAAAGATAATGAGGGCAGAGCTCACCATTAAAGCCCTTTTACTAATGCATTTTTCAGCTTCGCTTCTAACAATGAAGAATTATGTGCTGCACGCCTGGCCAACGCTACACTATGGAGATACTCTTGTACTTCCAGCTAATGAATCGAGAAAGACACGCTAAGCTTTGGTTTTGGCAGACGTGATCAATATTCTATTGTGTTTAGCTTGTTCTAATGAAAATATAGTTTCATTCCTCTTTTTGTGGAAGTACATTAGTTACCTACATGTGGCTAGAAACTAAACTACAGGCCATAATGTAGGCGTATGTATTCCACTGGACAGAGAGCCGCATTGTCAAAAGTATCTGTTTTTATTGTTTGTTTGAGGACATTACCTGGCATGAGGGGCAGATGACAGAAATAGGTTGTCTTGCTTCAATCTGTTCCAGGGCAGATGTGGCTATAATAGTATATTTACCACTAGAATATTTGGAGTGAATGAATAATGCCATGTGAAGCGTCTTTTAGTGTCCAAAAAGTGCTAAATAAAACTCTATTATTACGTTTGATAATAATTATAGAATGTAGAATTATTATCGGTTTAATATGAATTAGATATAGGCACAAAACTGGTGTAAAGACAATACAAACATTGTATTTTATTGTATCCTTTTTTTTATAACTATGCTACCCTTGTGCACCTGTTTCTGCTTTAATTTCCTCTTATCTATTTGTTTACATTTGCATTGATTATTAATATATATATACATCACACATATATATGCACTTATTATATGACTTGGACCGTACGCGCGCTCTGATTGGCTGATTACCGGTCTGATATTTTCCCATCTCGGACCGTTACCATGACAATTAGTCCGAACAGCGCGTATCACATTTGATATCTTACCTCGGACCGTTACCATGACAATCTGTCCGCAGCGCGTATCACACAAAACCAAGTCGGACATGAACATACTTCACAAATATCTCAAAAGCATTGGTAAAGACACAGACGAGAGTCATATAATAAAACATTTATTAACCTTGCTTGCTCGGTCTGTACAGAGAAATATCAGACCTTGGCCTTTTTGCACAGACCTCGCCTCGGCTCGGTCTGCACATTAAGGCCTCGGTCTGACATTTCTCCATACAGACCTCGCGCTCGGTTAATAAGCCGTTAATACACACACATATATATATATATACTAAAATTGGAGTAAATTTTAATCACAACATCTAGTCTGTCTGGTGTACACTTGAGTAATCTTGCACAGTTTTCCCAATGTGGTTTTACTGAAAATGACAAATACATTTTTGAATCTTGAACCTTTGTTTCTCCGTGTTTGTTGTAGCTGGGGTTCCCTTCCTCCTCACTGCAGAGCTGTTTAAACAGTCCCACCGCCCTGCAGCCTACACTGTGGCTGGCTGCCTCAACTGGCTCTCCAACTTCACTATAGGATTTCTCTTCCCTTTCCTGGAGGTAAAACATACTTCTACAGAACTCTTCAAAATCCACCTCCAGACCTCTACACCACACTAATAACTAATGCATTTATTATTAATGGATCATTGAGTTAAGTCCCTTTACTGTTTTCTGCAAACTTCACAAATGTAAATAAACCTGCTGTCTTTTTGTGAGGGAACTTACAGACCCTACTTTTTACATTCTTTCACAAATATTTAGTTATTCAAGAAGAAAACATGACATTTTAGTGGCAAAAAGTGAGTAAAAGTATAGATTTTAGTATAATAATTGACAAAAAAGCATTTCAATCTTTCCCTTACTTAGAAGTTTAAGATGAAACGATATTTTTGCTTATTTCACCCCTTGGCTGTAAGAGTGGGCATCATGATTCCTTTACTTTTAACCTCAGTGGTGTCTACATCTCTCCAGGATCAAATGTTTTGTATGATTTCTGGTGAGAGGGTCCCACAGCAGAGAAACCCTTCCAAACAAAGGGTCCTATAGCATCCCACAGAGCACTGTGATCAGAATCAGAATCAGTCTTTTTTATTGCCATTGTAAGTAACACACAAAGTAAGTCACAAACTAGATATTTGCTTTGGCTCATGGTGCAAACAAGTTACACAAGTAAAAATGGATATAAGGCATGTATAAAAAAAAACTTCATAGAATTTCTTGGAGTTACTACTATATACAGTAAATGTAAATGTGCAACTTTTTGCTAGAGGTGCCATGCTGACGACTCATGCAGCCACTGGGTAAAAATATGAATATATCAATTCAAAGTATAAAAGATCTAGATTTTTGATTTTTTTAAAGCATTGTGTAGAAAGCAAGCATGCCTAACCACAATTAATGAACTAACTACTTGAAACCTGTTTTAATTATGTGTTACCACCCGAAAAGTAACTTGTCACTTCAGAATGAAAGGAGTAGACAGAACAGATATTTGAGTTGAGATGAAGTTTGTCAGTAAAATAAGTTGCAAAGTAAAGTTCCAGGAAAGTACAGTACATAAGTCAAAATAATGCTTTTTTAGACAAAAGGACAATATTCCAGCATGATGCTCTCTGATCCTAGACAGTCCTCTGGTAATTTTTAGTAGGCGCTATAGTTGTATTGATAGTGTGAAATTCTACTCAAATAATACGTTTAACTTTTCTCTTTATAATGTATATTTATTTATATAGCGCATTTCACAGACCAAGGTCACCCAAAGCGCTGTACAATTGTTCAGAGTTCAGATAGTTTACCACACGCCGAACACACTGGTGCATCAAAGCCCCCAATCAACACCATCCATTCACTCACTCCTTACATTCATACCTAATGTACATATTTTTAGTGGTAGGGGAAACCGGAGCACCCGGAGACAACCTACGCAGACACGGGGAGAACATGCAAACTCCACTCAGAAAGGCCCTGCTCCGACCGGGATTCGAACCCAGGACCTTCTTGCTGACAAACTTGTCTTAGCTTTCAGACAGCACGGTAGCGCTTGTGCCTCCCAGCAAGAAGGTCCTGGGTTCAATTCCACCTCCAGGCCTTTCTGTGTGGAGTTTGCATGTTCTCCCCGTATCTGCATAGGTTTCCTCCAGGTGCTCCAGTTTCCGATACCACTAAAAAATATGTACAACATATCTGGCATGAGCCGGCTGTATGGCGACCCCGCTCCCATCTCTGTGTGGAGTGAGAGACAAATGCCCACAATAATTATAATGTGCTTTTTGACTCTGGTCTGTGAAAGGCGCTATATAAATAAATATTACTTACATACTTAACTTCTTGTAACATCTTCTTATGTCTTTCTCCCCTCAGATGGACATGGGCCCCTACTGTTACCTTTTATTCTGTGCAATATCCTTGGGAGTGGCCCTTTACGTGACCATCATCATTCCAGAGACCAGGAACAAAACATTTATGGAGATCAGTCAGATGTTTGCTTCCAGAAACAACATTCTTGAAGAGGAGCTAACATCAAACGGACATCTCAAAATGTCTATGATGAACGGTTATGGGACCCTAGGACACAGCAATTCTACGTAAAAGGGCAAAGTGATTGTTTTAGTCATTATTGGAAAGAGAAAATCTGCTGCTTTATGAAAAATACACACACACACACACACACACACAGACACACGCACACACACACACACACACACACACACACACACACACACACACACACACACACACACACACACACACACACACACACACACACTCTCTTATGGTTTAAAATATGTGTTTCATTCCCAAGGCAGACATGAAGCTGTCATGCAACTCAACTCAGCCATAGGAGGAATTGGACTCACTTTTACCATGTCTGATTTTATACTGGGGCTTACGTCCATCTGCACTAGCAACTGTAAAAATATGTGCTTTATCTACTTTTTTACCTTCCAACATTTTGTTATTATTACGGATTACTAGTGCTGGGATGAATACTTTGAAAATGACTTAGTACACATGGTCCAATCTGAGTTTTCTTGTAGTTAACATTGTGTATCTTAAATTGTCCAAAGAGACTCTGTACTAGAGCTGTGTTTTTGTTGTTTTTCCAAATATTATCACAATAACCCTTCATTTGATGCCACATTATTATGATTAAAGGAGTATTACTGAAAGTCAGTTATTACAAGTGTTCACTTCTCAACACTGCTGATTACCAAAAACGTATTAGCTTGTACAACGCAGTAAATGAGTCTTGCATAATTTATTGTATTTATTGAATAGCAACATGTCCTACTATAGCCTGAAGTCTGTGATCTCTTTAGATACAGGAGATAGAAATGCTATGGCTACTGTAGTAGTCATTTCACCATACGAGTTCAAAAAACATAACAATATGGTATTATGTTCATGAAATATATCCAGTTTGTTATTGTTGCTGTTTTTTTAATGTCAAAATTAAACATACATTCTACTATAAACAAGTCTCTCACTCATTCATACCGCCATTAATTTTAGCATTTACAAAAACTAGTTTGGAATACATATTTCACATTTTTGAATCTTATCTCGTTCCTCTTCATGACAACGTACTTAATGGTATGTTCTATATACAACTCTAAACCACTTGATTCTCTTAATTTACCAGTTTTGCATGTAGTGCCAGAGCTTCAGATTTGGGAGTGTTTCCATGTAATGGGTGGAATGGGGAGCTTTGGTTCCCTCTCATATGCTTGTACTTGAAGCCTCTGGGCTGGTGGATCCATCTGTCAAGCCCTGCAGAAGGACTGCAGCCCCCGACTGTGGCTGAATGGATATGTTGTCACAACCCTGCTTGTTCTGCACAACACAAGAGAGTACTCTAGAGGCTAGACATCCACTATTCTACACTGACAAGGTTGTTCAATTGTCTGAGGAACGTTATTGTACAATTTGCAAGTACACTGCAGTAAGCTACTGTGTTTTCCAAAGTATACATAACCGTAACCGTAATCTATTTCAATGAGTTTGTGTTTGTATAAAAGAAGTGTGGCCAAAGAAAAGGGTGGGTCGGGCTGTTGGGTTTGAGAAGGTCAGTGTGAGCAGTTGTTGATTTGCTGCTGAATGACAAATGTGGCGTAGTTGAACTCCTGGGAGAGGACAAGCGGAGGCCCTGTTCTTCGTGCCTGTTCATATGTAACGTCACTCCCAAACAAAAGGGCCTGTCTCGACACTACAGTATATTTCTGTGGATAATGCCACGCCGCACTGTGCTTATGTGAAAACACACAGCAACTCTTAGCTCACCCCGCCTCGGGCAGTCGTGAGCTATAAATCAAACAAATAGCATCACAGCCTGGCGAGGAGGCATTCCAACAGATAAAATGCTCTCCCACACAACAAAGCCACACTCACTGCGTAATTAATTGCAACAAATTACCTCTTCCTCCCCCCTCGCCCCCACCCTTCCACCTCTCACTTCTCCCACTTCTCCCGCAGACACGCGCATTGCCGCGCGCACCTGTGCACGTAATGACAGCGGCTCGCGTTCACGCCCGGCCCTTCATAAGTGCTTTAATGTGGCTTATTGCAGTGTGCGCTCCCCTTAGCCGTGGAAATATTCGCTTGACGGATGTGCTTTGTCGCCGGCGCTCCCCGGCGGAGGGCGGCTGTCAGGGAAGAGATGATAACATTAACAGGGAGCCAAGGCGATGACAAATGCCTGTTATCAGCGAACGAGGCCGGTGACAAATCGAACGGCAGCGCCCAGGCAGCCCCGGCGCGGCGTAATAAAAAACAAGATGGATGGCACAGCCAGGCAAGGCCCGCGTTAATGCGATTTCGACTGCTCTCCCTGACTCCCAATTAAGGCTGGGGGGGAGCGGGCGGGGGCCAGTGCTGCTGTTCAGAGAGAGGAGAAGAGGAGATGGTGAGGTGGAAATGGGCTGGTGCTGATACAGAAGCAGATGTGGGGTTAATGCAGTCAATGGCACGAGGATAGAATGAAGAGGTTCAGTAAACTAGAGGCCTATCTTCTGTTATAAAGCACATTTACTACAAACCTGGCCCTTACGTCGTTTCCTCAGAGGCCCACTGACTGAAATGACTTCATATGTAGAAAGACTGTAACATAGTTTTTGTTTCAACAGTTCACTGATGAGCACTTCCGACGAATATGGGCCTAGTTCACAGCAACTTAAAAGGTAAGCAAATTGGCACTGAAAGTAAAATATATAATGATGAAATAAGAGGCTCAAAATAATGAACTTCTCCGTCTCAAAGTGAGACGACAGAATAGTGGCTTTAATGGCAGCAGTGATTTGCCTTATGTGCTCACTTCTCCATCAGTGCGCGCCTCAGAGGTGCAGGTTGTTAAGTGTCTCTGTGGCCAGATGGACTCTCATTAGAGTCTTACTGAAACGAACAAAAGCCCACAGCTTCTCTCCTCAATTTAAATCTAACATGTCTGACCAAACAGGCACATGTCAGGACAGCACTGTTTCTTTGATTAGCTCAATCAGATGTGTGACATTAAAAGGACATCCGGCTGAGGCTTCCTATTGGCTCGAGATTCAAGGGATGCTTCTTAAATCAGCTCTTATAAAAACAGGTTGGAGTGACAGGCAGCTTATTGCTAATGGAAGGAGCTATAGAGATGAGCTATGGCTGTGTCTGAGATGACTGGTTCAACTCCTCCTGTCCAAGGACCCAGATGTTATCAGTTGCTAAAAGGATCAGGATATTGAGGAATGGCTGCAGGATGAGGGGCATCTGTGGCCCGACACCCAGGGGCTGCTGTTTTGTCACTCTGACAGTGTTTTATAAAAGGCTCAGGAAGCTCAGAAGGGCTGCACAAGTGAGCCCATATATCTCCAGCTATTACATCCAGGCTACGAGAAAGGCCCGAAATGACAATGAAATATGGTGCAGGCTACAAGCGAGAGATAGAACAGGGTCTAAAGAGGGACGACTCGGTCTCGTCAGGAGCCTGCAGGGAGTGTGCTCCAAATCAGCGACAGATGCACAGCTCTGGAGACACTAACCCTCTCTATGAAGCACACACAGGTGAAGATGTGTGGTTCAGCAGGAAGTCTTAGGAGAGAACAGCCTGTGCTGATATTAGTCTGAAGGAACAAGGAGAAATTAGAGGCCTGCAGGGGACCGGAGAAGGAGGGAGGGGCCAAACCCAGGCACTGTGTCCCTGCATCATTAAGTTGTCAAGTGGACGCAGGGCCCGAAATATGACTGGGAGTTATTGCTGGGTCTGGGGCTGATGATATAAGAATTACAGTACATGGATCATAGCTGGATCGATAGGTAGACAAAGTCATTATGGAGGGGCTAGAGTTCAATGCGTCCCCGGGGCTGTGAGCAGGGACACAAGCCGATATTTATCACCGCACATACACAGGTGTAGTCTGCTTGTTGCACTTATTTCCAAAGCCATCAGTTAGGGCTATTGATTTTGTGGGGCCAATATGGTGCACAAATGAATGTGTTGGCGCATAAAGGCACTTGTCTCTAAGCACTGTCCATCTTTGTGTGTTTACAGGTAAGCTAAACGTCTGTCTCCTCATCTTCAGCCACTCGGTCACTATTTGTCCTTCCCTGCTCTGTCATTGAGGCCAAGGAAAGCAGAAAGGATAGGGAGCACCACCAGGGCAGCATCGATCCGCTGTTTGCCGAGAGAAATTAGGCATGAAATTAAAGCTCCCATCAAAGGCCAGTGCCGCTGCTGTCACCTGATCCAGCAATATTTATACTCCCTGGAGATGATGATGATGTTGTCAGCCTCACACTGATGATAATAGGAGAGAGAAAGAGAGAAAAAGAGTCTTTGGTTTGCCTCCATCCCGCGCCACTGACCTGCCATCATTTATACTGCCAGGACCCAAGTGCAAGGTTAGCGCCAGCCCGAGTCCTCATAAATCACGGCGCTGCTGGACGGAGAGAGGCCAGGGTCAACGGCGCTCACAGCCAACCTCTGCTGATGAGAGAGTATTTATAGATCAGACTGAGGGAGGAAGAGCAGGTAAGGGCTGCTTAGGAGCTTTTGGACAATGTTTATTTATGTGAGTGAAGGTACAAGTGATGCTGTTAATTACCACTGGAATAATAGTGTAATATATAAAACAGAAATTCTCAGTTAAAGCTGGGGGGCCTACGCTTTTTGTCTCAATAGTGACTCCATTGTGTCATAGAAAGAGTCTTGCAAACTTCAATTCAATTTATTTTGTTTTATATAGCCCTAAATCACAATAGTCGTTATCTTGGATGACTTTACAAGCTGTCGACTCACAAAAACAGGAAATGCAACGATAAAAACCGACATAGAACCATTGGTCCATAAGGGGCAGATGTCCAATGTCCTTAAAAGTCAAAAGTCCTGAACAAATCACACCACAACATGCTCTGTCTTCATCATATAAGAAAACATTTTGTCTTCTGTATACTATTGGACGCTTTGGGCTGAGAAAAGATTCACTTTTATTCCTGAAGATGTGACCAAAATTGTATGTATGTGAAAATTATCGAACCAAACTGGTTTTGAAAGTGAGGAACTAGTCAGATGGGTTGTATTAAATATTTTTTTTGTGGCTTGAAAGTTATGACATTTTTTAACTTAGGCTTTGAGGATAGGCTAGTTTTTTGGCTAGGTTACTCTTTCTCAACATACTTCTCATATCTCCAAAAACAAGGAATCTTTCTAGACATACATGCATGATTTACACATTAGGTAATTCATACGTACAACTTGTCATTATGGTAATTAACTATATTTGGAAGAGATTTAACTTAAAACATCAATGATTTGTTGAAAAAGATTTCCAATGGGGTGTGTGATAACCTGCGTGGACTGTGGGGGGCGCCCATACACAGCACATGGCACCTGTCCTCAGCCTGCAGCACCAGCGTGAAGCAGCAGGATTTACATATGCATATGTAATCAATATCACAAACCTATATACTCTCAGTCATGGACACATCAAAACCATAGTATCTTCAACTCCGCACTCTCATATGCCGTGGCTGCCAAGCACACAGTGTTTTGACAGAAGTACAGCGGTCCAGCATGCTGCGGTCCAGGCTAAAGACAGGCTTTCACACCACAAGATGACTGGTTGTCCCTCCGACTCTCCTTGCACCGGCCACTGGCTGCAGGGCTACCCCTCCAGCAAAAATAAGCCATTGGAGACAAGGGACAGATTTTTAAGAAAAGGCTTTTCTGCACTTTTCTGTGTCTGTAATGTTGATATTTCAAATGAAATCAATCAGTTTATCTATTGTTAATTATTTGTACACCATTAAACATTTTTTACAATATCAATGATTTATGAAAGCACTAAAGTATAAGGGTACATTGTTTCTTTTTATTAAATCAGACAGGAGCTGTATATCCGCAGAGGTGGTAAAGGTTCTAGTTGTAGGTATTTCATTGAAATTAGATTCTAGTACATACTAGTATTTGAGTAGGGTAAAAGTATTGAAATAATTCCTTTGAGTAAAAGTACAAGTGCAAGGTTTTTTCTATATTTATGTTTGACTGACACTATTTATTTGAGACAAAGGGTTGCCTTGAAACTGTCCTGTTTATAAAATGTGCTATATAAATAAAGTGGATAGGAATGAAGCACTCTGGCAATGTGGTATTGTTGTAGAAGTGTTTTATACTGGCAAAGAATATGAACAATGTGAACATGAGGCTCCTCTCCGGTATCCAATAAACAAACATGTTTAACTTAGAAGCATGGCTAATGCAAAAAAGATAAAGGAGCAGAGCTAACCAATTCACACTTGTGTTCTGTCTGCAAAGTAACTACTCATTTTAGATCACAAGTGCAGATCTTTGGGAATAAAAGTAAAGATTAAAAGTGAAAAGCTTGTCACAAAATAAAGTACAAACAATCAATAATAAATAGCACAGTACTTCAGTAAAAGTACTAGTTACTTGCATCTTCTTATATATGAGTCCATATACACCGCAGACCTGTAATTATGAATGAATATCACTTAACATTTTGAACCCTCTGTGCTTGTGAAGGTCATTGTGGCAGATAGGAGGTTCGTTTGATCGATAAGCACCACCCGCCCCGTGGCTCACACACAGCTCTTCTCAAGTGTCCAGCAGGACGCGTATCAAATGGGTCACCTTTTTTACCTCCTCACCCCCAACCCCCAGCCCTCTCCGGCTCGGGACCAGAACTGTCGCTAACGGCCTCTGTCACATACCAGTCAGGTGCTTTCAGCGCTCTGATAACGGCCCTGTCCCCACTGTAAGTGTGGCGGAGGAGAGCTGTTGACTGTTGGCCTCTGTTTCGGCACAGTGGCTCTAGGTGGGCCTCTTCTGACCCAATTAGCGTTTTGTTCATTTAGTTACATGAGGGCTGCCACATGGAGATAATGATGGGGCACCAGGATTTCCTTTTTGTGGTTCTGTTATTGATCCAAACGGAAAATAAGAAAACACTGCAGAAGATTCAGATTCAGATCAGATTCAGATTCATTTATTTGCCATTTGCAGTATTTTTTTATCGTATTTTTTTTTTCAGATTCGAACCACATTGGAAAAACTGTGCAAGACTACCCCGGTGTGCACCAGATGACACACACCAGAGCTCTTGCCACAAAGGTACAAAATAGTCGATTCACGCATTTACTGAGGGACAAGCAACAACTCACACATCACGATTACAGCATAAAAAAAGCATATTTACCAATAGGTTTCAATCATGTGAAATCATAACATTGCTATTAGCCTATGGTTGTGGTGAAAGATGAAAAATCTTCCCCGATAACTATGGTAAGTGTCAAAAGTCAGACTACTAGTGTTAGTTTGTAGCTGCAATTCCTGAGCAAATCCACATGAAACAAAAGATGTCTTCACACATATAAACTATAATCTTAATTATTTCCTAATAACCGGTGTCTAAACGGAATGACAATGAAACATACATGTTGGCCAGTAGAAGACTTCAGACATATGCAGGTTTGGGAATCTATAAGCAATCAAATGATCTGGGAAAACCCTTTTTTTTCTAATTCCCTCCAAATCTACATGAGCATAACATATTACATAAAATGCAAGTGAAATCAAACCACAGAATCAGGGCAAAAGTTAAATTACAAACTAATATTAAACCATTAGACAGAGTAGCCGTAAAACAGGATTATGCCGGGTCACTCC